GCTGCCGCAGACCACACGCTCGGGTTCACGAGCACAGGGGCACGGGTTGTTAAATTCGGTCCGCATTATCGCCGAAACAGCGGGACCAAGCTACCCAAGACTCACAGCCGTTCGGTGACCCAACAAACAATCGCATGGGTTATCTATATCACGTCAGACCATTGCAGTACCAATAGCAAAAAAAGTCCGCCTTGTTCTCTGACCAACTTTGCCACTCCATACCAGTCCCGAACCAGTTCGGTCTGCACCGAGCCTAGAATTGTCATGGCTCGCCCCATGTCGTTGCCGGTCTCAAACCGAACCTGAAATAAATTGTCCCAGCGGTTCCCGGCCTGGATTGATACACCGTAGAGGCTCCGGACCAGATGATCAAACCCGATATCCAATACCGGGCTGCTGTGCCACGCGGACGCCAAACCCGTACAACCATGCCTCGATAATTTCGTACCTGTCCCGAACCTGATATAGGACGCCGCAACGTCTCCGGACCTGAAAACAAACTGTCGCCTAGGTCCCAAACTTGGAATAACTGTCATAGTGGCCCCGGTCCTGAGAATAAGTCACCGCAATTGTCTCAAACCTGAAAATAAGTCACCGTAGTAAAACCGGTGTCGCCAAGCCCTTTCCGTACCTGAAGCACATCAGACATCGTAGGACGTAGCCACTCCGTAACAAGCCTCATATCCGTATCGAACCAAACACCATGGTCGACCCAAGGTAGCACCTGTCTCTTATACACATCTAGATGTGTATAAGAGACAGTCGTAGGACGTAGCCACTCCGTAACAAGCCTCATATCCGTATCGAACCAAACACCATAGTCGACCCAAGGTAGCACCTGTCCATGCGTCTCCCGCTCTCAGAACGTCCCAACAATCGGCAGTATTAGTAATCAAGCAAACCAGCGAAAGCAACGCAGGGAACCTCGGCCATCGGCAGTATTTGAACACCGTCAAAATCCGGGGAAAATGTTCAATCCGGGGTCAGAGCTAACGACGGGTGATCGAGGCGAAATTAGGCCAATCTCCCAATGGTCATGGGTTCCCGTCACTTCCATCGTTTTTCATCATTCTTCCCTTTCCTTAATTCTATTGTCGAAAATAATAAATTAAYTGTAAGTTCCCCAAAATTAAATTCCGAGAAAATTTAAATAAATGGTCGAATTCCTTTTGTTTCTTTTCTCTTTTACCATTTTTAATCTTTTTCTATGTTTTTAACTTAATTGTCGGGAAAATAAAATAACAAGGGTATTCTCCCTTGAATTAAATGCTGTGAAAAATAGAGAAATTAAGGGATATTATGTTTTTCCCTTCTCCCCTATTGGTCTTAATCCCTCTTCCCATCTTTAATTACGGTACTAAAATAGACAAAAATTTGAGGCCCCCTTTCGCCCGGTCGTATGCTGCAAAAACGTTGCGGCGAGGTCAACTCCCTTGATGCCTCTCCGCGGCAGGCCAATCCGGGTCTAACCCTCTGAACGGTCAGAAATGACAGTCCCTAGACATGCCGAGTGCGGCCACCCATCTCGCCATCTCTGAGGGTTACTCATAAGGCTAAGTGCGCCCAAAATCAGGGGTGCCCTGAGTTCCCCTAATTTTTGCTGCCTGGTCATACGAGACTACCATCAAAACACGGATTTGTCCCTGAGCCTAAGTCCCAAAACTGCGGATCTCAGGCGGCGCACTGCTTGTGGCCGCCTGACAGTTAGCCCGGACCACTTCTCGACGCCCCCGTCGAGCCCCTAGCAACTTATGTCAGACGAAGCGAACGAGCTTCAGGGTGATAGCCCGTAAAGGACGCCCACGTCGGCGTTTTATTGTCTTATGTTTCAGTTTGTTATGAGTCCTGGGGCTAAGAAGATGTTTCTTGACTCTCCTGTTTCTTCTCGTTTTTTATCCCGGCACGATCCTCTTTTTCTTCTGTCTTTGCCCCGAGAAGGGTGTCGACCCGCCAGTACGTCTAACGCGAACTCTCCGTCTAGCTCGCTTGAGCACGAATAATCATCTCTTCTTTCTTGCTAAAGCTACCCCTTTGACCTTTCTCTTCTCTATTCTTTTCCTTTTCTTGGAACTCTCTCCTGCCTCGAATTGCCTCAAGGGGGCTCCATCCACCTTTACGGCTTTTCCTTTCCCTTTCAGGCTGGTACTTGATAAGGCGGGCGGGGGCCTGGGCCTAAACAGCTTTAACCTAGCCCCCGCCACTGGGTCCTTCCACTTAGATCCGTCTAGTTCTGCTATCATATATGCACCCTAGTCAAGTGCCTCAGCCACTCTGTAAGGTCCCATCCATCTATTGGCAAACTTTCCGGTCCAAGTCCTCTCCACTGCCACGTCGTAGAGAAGGACCATATGTCCTACGCTCACCGTCTCTTTCCTGATTCGGACGTTCTTATCCCATCTCTTTTTTCCCTTGTTCCTTTCCGCCGCCAGACGATCGGCTGCTGTCATGAGGTTGTCTTCCAACCCGTAGGCTATCCGTCTTGTTCGGACAACTAAGAGTTCCTCTCTGGACATCTCCTCTGCCCAGTCGACGGTTGTCCAGCTGTCGACGTGAAACTCTATGGGAAGCGGACAAGGTCGCCTAAACCACAAGGTATACGGTGGGTATCCGGTACTAGCCCGGACCGTGACGTTGTCCGCCCATATTGCGTAACGAAAATATCGTGGCCAATCACTGTCCTTACCCTTGCACCACTTGGATAGTGACGCTATCAGAGTCTGGTGTCCCCTCTCTACTGGGGAGTTCGACTGTGGGTGATAGGCGGTGGCTATCGAAACTCTCGCACCGGCTCTCCTAAACACGCTCTGGACCTCGTCGGCTAGGAATTCCGCCCCTCTGTCCATCACTATCTTGCCGACACAACCATACCTAGATAAGTACTCTAGGACAAAGTTCTTTACTTCCTTTGCCGCCTTACTCCTGATAGGTCTACCGTCCACGAACCCAGTGAAATCGTCTCGTATGTTCACGACGTAGTTCATATTGCCTACCCCTCTCGGCATTTTCACTAGATCGATGTGTACCTTCTCTTCTGGTCTGGTCGGATAGGATGGATGAAGCGGCTCTTTGTATTTCACAAGAGCTCTCTTCTAGCACTCTTAGCATGTCATACAGTACCTCTCGACGTCCTTATACTGTCCTTCCCACCAGTACAGCCGACGTATCTTTTCGTAGGTTCCTTTAACTCCCATGTATCCTCCGACTACCCCGTCGTGAAGTTCCGCAACTATCATCTGTCTCTCCTCAGGATCACAGACTACTCGTAAGGGCATTCCCGACCCTACTGGCCTTCGGAAAAGGTGGTCCGCTCTAAGGCAGTACTGGGCTGCTTGCCTCCGGATTTCTGAATCTTGACTCTCCTCTCCCGTCAGGTGTAGTCCGATCATTCGGTACTTGCCCTCGTAAAGATTAACTAGAAATCTCTCGGCGCGCCTTGGCTCTGCCATCGTCAGAGCCCCAGCTACTATCGGATGCTCGAGAGGGATGCGTGAAAGTCCATCTGCCACAACATTTTTAGTACCAGATACTCTCTCAACCGTGTAATCGTATAGCCGAATCCGTATTATCTATCGGGCGATGGTCGGGTCCGTCAGACTAAAGTCCTTCTGGAGGACAGAGGCAACCGCGGTGGGGTCTACTCTCAAGATGAACCGTCGTCCATAGATATAGTGTCTGAACGTGTCTAAACACCGGAGAACCGCTAACACTTCCTTCTTGAATTGACTGTAGTTACGCTCAGCCGTATTAAGTGTCATACTCTCAAATCTTAACGGTCTTTCCTTCCCTCCAGCGTCCTTCTGAGACAGCAAACCACCCACTGAACATGGTCCAGCGTCCGTGGATACTATGAAGGGTCTCTCGATCTCATCGTCAAAGAATGGCACGCCCAACACGCGTCCTCCCTCCTTAAATTCGTCTTTAAGTTCTTGCATTGCGAGTTCCTGTGATGAATCCCAGTAGAATTTTTCAGTCTTTCGAAGGAGTAACCTCAACGGCTCAGCCTTCTCCGCATACCCCCGTATGAATATACGCCAGTAACCAACCACTCCTAGAAACTGTCGGACCTCGGTTAGGCTATGTAACGGTGAGGGCCAGTTCAGAAGTTTGTCTAACTTCGCCGGATCCGCTCGGCGTCCTCTCGAGTCACATATAAAGCCCAAGATCTAAATAGTCGAGACGGCCCATCGGCTCTTTGTTCCGCTGACTGTTAAATTCGCATCATCCAGCTGCTCGAGTACCGCACAAATATCTGTTAGGTGCTGTTCGACGAATATTCTAACTCCAGGTACAACCTCTGTCTCATTCCTGTCTACTGGCCCTTTTATAGGAAAATCATCCAGAAAAACTTCAACCTTATCAGGGATGAAGTGCTTGAGGACGGCTACCATGACTCTCTGAAAAACGGCTACCCCATTAGTCCAACCCATAGGGACAACCATCATCTGTATTAGTCCCAATGGCGTATGCATAGCCGTTAGGTGCCTGTCTCTAGGGTCAAGTGGTACCTCATCATAGCCTTAGAACAGATCACAGACGGAATAAATCGACCTACCTGCGGCGCCTTCTGCCAGTTAATCGGCGTGTGGCACGGAGCCCACGTCTCGTATCGTCACCGCGTTGACCTTCTGAAGGTCCTGGATCCATCGGATCTTGCCATTCGGTTTTCGTAGGAAGAACCATCGATTTGCATAAGCGCTATCAGACGGCTCCACAACGTGGGAAACCATCCTTTCTTTCAGGAAAGCGATAACTTCTTCCTTTTCCTTCTGAGCGTACTTCCATCCCGCGTCGTTCCAGGGAACATGTGGTATCGTGTAAATTCTTGCTGGCTTAGCGTATCGAGGGTCAATCCTACCGCGTTCCGCGTCGCTGAAAGCTATTGCCTTATCACATGTCCTCATAATTTCTATCACACGTCCTCGCTCCTGTGGGGTCAGATTTCCATCTCCGATGTCCATCCCTGCTATTCTCTCTTCCGTTAGGCGTTGTGGCTCCTTTTTCTTTCTTTCTTTGATTTGTTTTGCGATCTCTTCTTCTGATACCCCTTCCAGTGCCGATCGCTCGCGGCCCACCGCCGATGGCTTGACTTTTTGAGTTACTCGCTTGTGTCGCTTGGGTAGCCCCCCATAGGGCGCCGTGCCCTTAAAAAAGACACGGATACCACACCGCCAAATTCCTCATCTTTTTCCTTCGGGTACGAGTTGCCGTCCACTATTAGCCGGCTTCCTAAATCTTCCACCTCTACGATCCGACCTTCTTCCTCTGTGAGCAGTGGTCCATATCTCTTCTCGCGAAATCGCACCGCGCGGCCGGAGATAGGTAACGACTTAATCGGATCACTGGGTCCCGCACCCACAGCGAGAGCTGCTCTGTTCCTCGGGTCCCGAGGCTCCACTGTCTCAATCATCACCCGCGTCCCGTTTAACTTCCTAATAGACAATGTTTGACTCTCATCAGGTCGCTCTATCATCACCGCATGCACGTGGCTCAGCCACGTTCGACCCAAGAGCAAGTCGGAGCTGCAGTTCTTGACTGCAAAGACAGGCAGGGTCACACGTACCCCTTGGACTTCTATGGCTGCTTTGTGACAAACCCCAGTGATTTGTTGCTTTCTCCCATCAGCCGTCTCTATCTCGAATAGGTATGACCTATCGAGGCCCAGTCCAACTTGTACTGCCAGATCCTCGTCTATGATGACAGCCTCACTGCCGTTGTCAATCACAGCATCGAGTATCGCTCCATCGTTTATAATCGTCTCTACGGTCCCGCTACCAAGTATATAGAACTTGTCTGGAGGCACACCTTCCATCCCATCGAGAAGAACTGTCGCCATGCGATCCGCTCTAGCAGTCCCCCCCGTTACTGCTACTGAAGAAGGTTCCGCTTTAGGGGCCCCCTGACCCTCATCTAATAGAGGTATGCGAGTCTTCTGCGTGATCATCTGTAATTCATCACGAGCCGGCTTCGATGCCGCCAGGTACTCCAGAATAGAACACTGCATTGGTTGCCGAAGGGCCCGCCTCAGTGGCTCAACCGTGTCAATCTCGTCCAGCGAACTCTTCATTAAGAACTTCTTCACTCCCCTCTTCCGCGGCGAAAGGATAACCTCCTCTCCATCGACCTGCTGCCCGTCCTTCTCCGTCATCACGTAATCCGTGTCAGTCCTCTTCGATGTAGACCCTCTTGCCGACTTGGTGGCTACCACCCTTATGGGTGTGGTCTCGATATCCCCCTCAAAAATTATCTTGATGCTCTGACTCCTGACCGACTCCATTCCTTTACTCGTCTTTATTCTCCTTGCTTCGACATTCTCCTTCATCGAAG